ATTCAACATTATCGTTTACTTATCGGATAAGATTTTATTCACTAAAAACGCATCGTATGCAACAATTTATCCCAGTGAGCGCTAACCATGGTAAGAGTCCTTGTCATCACTTAACGGGTAAGACTCTCGATTCTTATCTTCGCTCTTACCGGTAAGATTTTTAGTTATTGTCATATTCATCAGGGAAAATAAAGTGACTTGGTAAACGGTTACTCGGGTAAGATAATTGCATTAAATTGGCCTAAATATGTCTTTTATCTCCTAACATTCTCACAACCAACTATCCACAACAACTTCCAAACCTACCCAGATAAAATAAAACATAACAGCTCAAATAAAAATAAACACATCAGCTAAATATCAACGAATACGTGTTTGCATCATTATAATTAGTATTAGTTTAATAATAATTAGCCACATCGAATCTTCTTAAAATATATTTATTTTATACCAAGGATATTGTTTTTAATTTGTGTTGGGTGCGTGAAAAATGCAACGTTTTCTTTTTCAAATACAAGTTTAATTAAAGCTTACCGATTCGTCTACTTGAATGAATAACAAATACTATACAAAAGACAACCAATGTACAATTATTTGGATTTCTAAAAAAAACGAAAATACAGTTATTTATAGCGTAAGCACAACGAAATGAATTATCCCATTTGAAGATGTGTTGAATCCTCAAATCGTCGTTATCAGACTTACGAGCCAACTTTGCTACTATGTAGAGAACAAGCAGGACGCGCATAGGCTAATAATACACAAAGGCGTTAACTTAAGCGTACAAAACTTTTATCGGTGTGAGCCAATGGTGATGGCAATGACTTGGAGGTATATGTGGTTACGAGCCTAACAAACACGTCATTGCCTCGATTAAAGGCAATAATTACGGTAATTGGCAATGATGGTTAATCTTAATCATGGCCTATTGTCTTGTGGTTCTACATCTATTGGGACCAAATGTCGAAAAAACCTTATGGGTAAAATCCATTTATGTCATTTTCGAGTCATGTACGTTGAATATGGTTAAGAAAAAGATAAGACTTAATAAGATATATCTTTAGAGAGCAAAATAGTCATGTGGAAGAAAACGAAACAAGGGTACGCGGTTGGGGTGGGCAATAAAAGAAAAACTTGATAAACAAAAAATAAAAACTTGTAATGTACAATTAATATTTATTTAAAAACTAAAGAAAATCTTATATGTTTAAGTAAAAAGTTGATTACCGGCAACTCCAATCAGTTTTATATGGGACCCGCCTTCAAGGTTACTGATATGAGGGGATATTGTTTGACTCACTCAAGGCTGTCTTCAAATTCTTAAAAAATCGTTATTTTTTTTTTATCTCATTTTCAAGGAAAAGTAATTAATTTAAAAATAAAGATTGATTCAATTTGAGAAAAAAATGTATTTTATTTCTAAATCGACACGATTGACTTTTCTCTAGGTCAAACCGTGTTGACTTTCTCCCTAGGTCAAACCGTGATTTTGTCGGATCTTTTATTCATTTTAAAGGTGGATCTGCTCAAAGAAATTTATGGGTTATACGCCTAAGGCTAAGAAAATCTTACATGTTAGTTAACAGTTATTGATACTTGGTTAATAGTTAATCGGTTTATTAACAAGAAAAAAATGCTCAAAATATAATGTTTTTTTTTTCAATTAATAGAACAAACTTTTAATTTGATTCTATTTTAAGATCAAGATAACTAGATATAATAAATAACAGTTTGGCTGAATTAGAAATTCGTTTGTAAATTTATGTTGACGTGGGTAGCCACGTCACTTATTTTCTTGAATTTTTATTCTTATTTTAACGTAAACTTATTTTGCTGTCGTCTCTTTCTCCCTTTTGGTGGTGGTGGTGGTGGTGGTGGTGGGATGGACACAAGTGAAGCCGTATAGTCTCATTCTACAAATGCCTTCAACAACATAATCGATGTGTCTGAGGGTTTTTTTTTCTCAAGTAAAGGAAGGGAAAGAAAGAAATCTTGTATTTTCGAGTTTTTTAAAGGAGGAAAAAGAAATGGAAGTCTTTTCAAATGTGAAAGAGAAAATGAAAAGACAATATTTATAAAAAATAAAAATAAAAATATTTATCAAATTACACTGTAAAATAAATAACTAATAAGAATATATTTGTCAAAATGACATCTTTCATTTCTTTTCTCTCTCACTAAAAAATATGAGAATTTATTTTCTTTCTTTCATTTTTTCACTCTCAAAAACACAATTTTTTCTTTCAGAATCCCAGAACACAACGAAAACGAAAAAAAAAAAACCTTGGGATCATAAATCAAATCAATTATTTACCTACTTATTGCAAGACAATAAGTTTGTATTAAAACTAGAAATTTTTTTTTTTTTTAGTTTTAATAAATTGTAGAAAGACTACCATGACCTCTATTTGTCGAATTAGTATCTAAAATCTTGTGGCTTAGTTTAACTGATTATAAGGTTTGGTTTTTTGGGATTCTTCTCAAAAATCATCGTTTTGAGTCGTCACTAGGGATTCCCCTTACTGTTCTCCAACGTCCCTAAAATTAGTTGAGTGGCGCACAAACTAACTTAGATATCCACAATTTAAAAAAGAAAGAATAATGGGGCGTTTGGTTCGCAGATTCTGAAGTAATCTGATGGAATTAAAATGTTGAATTCCACTGACCAAATTTCATCTTCTCGTTTGGTTCATTCTTTTCCACGAAAAGAATCTTCAAAATCCTACAAATTCCACAAATAGAAGAATTTGATATTCCTTAGTAACTATATGGTATTTTGATGGAATGAAATTCTCTGTTTTCATAATACCAAATATGTCATTAACCCAATATACTCTAATCTCATAAAACTCAATATGACCATCGTCGATCTAAATCACCACCGACCACCTCCATCTGAGCCACCGCCGACCACCATCGCCAACCACCACCAATCTGCTCCACCCTCGATTTGAACCACCGCCGATCACCTTCATCTGAACTACAATGAACCACCGCCGATCACCTTCATCTGAACTACAATGAACCACCACCAATCTGAACCATTGTCGACCATCGCCATCTGGACCACAATGGACCACCATCGATCTGAACTACCGCCAACTACTATCGATTTGAAACACTGTCGGACACCATCGATCTGAACCATACCCGACCACCGCCACCTGAAGCACCATGGGCCACTACCGATCTGAACTACTGATAACCACCGGCGACTACCACCCATTTAAATCACCGACGGACACCACCGACCATCAACGATTTGAACAACCACCGATTTAAACCATCGCCAATCTGAACCACTGTGAATCACCACTAATCTGAACCACCGTGAACCACCACTAATATGAACCACTGCTGACCACCGTTGATTTAGTAACGATGTTTTACTTATGGTTATATTTGGGTTGCGTATTTTATGTTGTTTTACATATTAAATAATTATTTTATTAAAGTATTTTTTATTTTGAAAAAAATGAAATTTTCAGAAAAAGGCATTCGGTTATTTACCAATATTTCATTCAAATTCCAAAGCTGTATTCTGTGAACCAAATAGACATATTTCAATTCCTTAACAAATTTTATTTCAATGTCTGTCAACCAAACAAGTGGTCAAACCTGACAACATTTCATTTTAATTTCTTCAAAATCAAATTTATTTAACAGATTTCATTGCATCCAAAAACATCATACGAATCAGACGTAACATAAATCTATAACTATCTGTTAAAAGCAATGGTTAATATATATGTTTCTAAATTTTCTTTATTTAAAAACGATGTAAGAATGCAAGTCGCTTTTCAGGATACATTTTAGTATTGGTTTTTGGAGTTTTTTCATTTGTAACGGAATTCCGTGTTTAATATTAATTTATTAAAATTCGTTCTCTCTATTTGCAAAATCGAACAATTTTCGTTCTTTTTTTTACACAAAGTTTTTTTTCCCTATTAAATCAAGTTAAATGAGAAACATTTTTTTTAATTTTCTATGAATAATTGGAAAAAAGTTTTAAAAAGATAATAATTTTTTTTTTCATTTTAAATAATTTAGTTTCTAAAACTATGTTTTTAAATAGAAAAATCATTAAACTTTTTAATGATGAAGTTTCTAAACTATTTTTTTGAATTAAAAAACCATTATACTTTTTCATTTTGATTTATTAAGTTCTTAAAAATTCTTTTAATAAATCTTCATACTTTTAAAAATTGGTTGCCTACATCCTTTAACCCAAATTTTTTTTTACATTAATTGACTAATAAAAGTTCGATGGTTTTTTTGTTTTTTTTAATTCATGATCTTAATTATTAAAAATGTGAAAATTTAATGGTTTTTCATTAAAAAATAATAATTTAAAACACCAAAATTTGTTGAAAGTATTTTAATTTTTCCATAAAAATTAATAGGTGGAAGTTCAAACGAGAACGCGAGAACACTCTTATCACATGTGATAACACGCGTGAGGAGACCTGGTGGTATGCGGAAGACGTGTTCTACGACTTAGGCCCCGCCAAATGTTGTTTGCGTCTATGATTTAGCATCACATGTGATGGTATTGATGAATTATAGTATCATATCAACAACACCTTATCACATGTGATAGTACATGTGAGGGGGCTTAGTGGTGTAAGGGCTACTTAGCCTGCAACCAAGATCGCGCCGAAAATCGTCTGCGTCTCTGATTTAGTATCACATGTGATGGAATAATAGTATCACATGTGATTGTCTATTGTAAAAAGATGTTCTTGCGTTCCCATAAAATAAAAGTGTTTTCGTTTGAACTCTTCCCTCAATATCAGTAAAACTGAATATGTCTCCATTGCACAGGCAACATCTCCATCTGTGTCCATACTCCATAGAAACTGAAAAGAACAAAGGAACAAAACCCGACCCATATTACATTTTACGGACTCACCAACACAATTATGACGTCATAAACGAAAAACCACGAAGAAAATTTGACTTATTCAAGACAACAATCCAAATGAGTGGCCATCAAGTGAAGTGAAACAAGACCTGTTCAATAGTCAAGACCTCGTGCTCATGAACCGGTTAATCCTTTCCTCACTCCCCGTGTCCGTCTCTAACCCTATTTATACCCACCACCACCACCCACCCACCCACCGTTGCTCCGTACTAACAACCACCATGAACCATCGTCTCCCGCCACCCGGTTACCGCTTCTTCCCCACCGAAGAAGAACTCGTTTCCTTCTATCTACCCAACGAACTCGATGCCCGAAGAGATGATCTCCATCGTGTTATTCCCGTTGTCAATGTCTACGAACACGAACCATGGCATCTCCCAAGTAACCATCTTTCATTTTCTTTAACCAATTAGTCCTTGTAAGAAGCTTCTTTTCTTTCGATCGAATTGAAGTTAGTGTAACGAAATTTTGATTTTTGTTTTCGTTAGTGGAAGCGGGAGAATTATGCAAAAGGGATACCGAACAATGGTTTTTCTTTGTACCGAAACAAGAGAGGGAAGTACAAGGAGGGAGGCCATCGCGAACCACGGCTTCTGGTTATTGGAAGGCCACGGGTTCGCCTACGTATGTTTACTCGTCTACCGACAAGGTGATTGGAGTGAAGAAGACGATGGTGTTTTACCATGGGAAGTCGTCCACAAGCAAGAAAACGAAATGGAAAATGCACGAGTATCGGGCAATCAAAGAAGAACTCGATTCCACCAATACATGTTTAATACCCAAGGTACATGAACTCCGTAAATTTTTGGTTTCGGGCCGGTGTGATTCAACCAAGTTGATTTACGATCATTCGATAACGCATTATAATAAAGTTCCGATTTATAGGATGCTAAAAATATTTGAGTAGAACCAAACAAAAAAGTGTTCTATCTAAAAGTGATGCAATAAGTTTATAGAACGTTTTAGACGTCTTAACAAGTTTTCTAAGATATTTTCAAAATACAACATCGTACTATCTATTTTATATGATACTATTTTTTTTTAAATGTCTTATAATAACAAGGGTCGTATAAAAGATGTGTTCATAGGATATTTCTCAAAAGTATCATATAAAATAATTAATACAACGTTTTATTTTTTAAAATGTTCTAAAAAGCTTGTTAAGATTCCCAAAAAAACATTTTATAAACTCATTACTACACTTTTAGATATGACGTTTTATTGTTTGGTTCTATAAACTTAAAGTCCGTCCTATAAGACAATCTATTATGATATTTATACATTGTTGACGTTCTATAACCCTGATAGTTTAACATGTTTGATATTACAAGTATCAATATCTTCATTTGGCTATGTATGTTAACGGGATTTTATTTATTAATGCAGTTACAACATGAGTTGAGCTTATGCAGAGTGTATGTGATATCAGGGTGCGTAAGAGCATTCGATAGACGACCTACAGGGCTCGGAACACACGAGATTGGTGGTTCGAGTTCGTTATCATCATAGTTAAGAGTAATCCCCAGTCTTAACCCCTCGATCTAACAAATCATGCTTCTATTCATTTTATTTAATTGGTTTAGAACTTCGAATATGTGTTGGTTAGACTATTTGTATATTTGTGAATGTCAATAACTTTAAGGGGCTGTTTGGTTCATGGATTTGGATGGAATTGAAAAGCATTGGAATGGCCAAATCCTTTGACCAAATTCCAAATATAATGTTTGGTTCATGGAATAAAATTGATGGAATCCTTTCGATTCCAATAAATTCCTTCACCCACAGATTTTACATTCTACGGCAATACCCTCGGATTTCAATTCCTTTACGACAAATTCCTTCCCTAATCCAAATTCATTCAATGTTGCGTCTACCATCTCATCTAATTGATCTATGGTTCGATCTCCATCTGGTATGCTCTCTCTCTCTCTCTCTCGTAATTTCTCCATCTATACAAGATCTATAGACAACATATGTAATCAAGGAATCGATTCAAGATAACTAGCTATCGATATTGTTAGTTGTATATAAGAAGCTCATATATATAAGCCCGTGGGCTTTTAGGTTTAGGCTTTAGGCACTCTGTACTATCCTATATAAGTAGCTTAGGTTTTCTCCTTTTCTTGTAACGTTTCAACAATATTCATTCAATACAAACGACAATCTTTTGGCCCTCTCTTTCTCTTATTCTAACATGGTATCA